TGGGGGGGGCGGGGGTGTCCCTGCATCTGTTGCTCTAATCTCGTCCTGTTCTCTGTTTTGCTGTTTCCATCAAGCCTGGTTTTATTTTTCTCTGGAGGGCAGGTCACTTTCCTGACACCTTTTCTTTCCTTTGGCTGGTAGGCTGCCCAGTAACAATACACTGGAAAATCTTTAGTCACTTGTTCCTTTTCGCGATTTTTCTTGATTTTTTTTTTTTTTTTACTATTGCTTCAAATTTTCCCAGTACGAGAAAAGGGATGACTACAAAGTATGTGTGGCATACTTTATGTATTTAACTAAATATATGTGTACATGCATATATATCATTTAAAGTCTACTCTAAAAAGAGAAATAGATAAAAAAACAGATAGTCTTTCTGAGACCTTACTAAGAAGAGTCAAAAAATGACATTAAGTTGAGGTGATTAATATTTATTCTTTGTACAGTCCCTTATATTCTTCATATAGTTATTAACTATAGCAACAGATAGTTTAAAATTTTATATAATTCTTTTTTTAAGATTATTTATGCACACAAGAACTGGGGTACAGGCCAGAGATGTGGGGGGTGAGAGGACTCACCAATGACAGAGTGGGAAGCAGAACAGGCAGATGAAACACACTGCTGAGGGGAGCAGCGGGGAGACAGGAGAGGTCTGTCTCGCCTTGTGGGTCACTCCCTGGCTGAGATGTGTAGCGGCTGTGGCTAGCTTTGAGGTGCTGTGCTTTAACCTGTTGAGCCACCCAGGGAGGGCCCAAACTTTATATAATTCTTGTCTAAAAACAAGTTTATTGGCACTTGCTAAAGGTTCATTTGCATAGTATCCAAATCAACCCTTGTTTTAAAATATCACCAGCAGGTTTTGCAGGATAACTTTTTCATAGCTGGGAAAAGGGTACATTTTAATTATTTGTAAATGGTCCACTGAGTTTCAGTTTTTGAACAGGTTATATGCTCTGTCTTTATATGGGCCACTTACAAATGAAAAACTGGATTTTTTTACAACCACTGCCTTTCACTGATGATCCATGACACAAAACTGCCATCAGCATTGAGGTCAGCCAGCCAGCATGTTTTCATTGCTTGAAATACCTGAGACACCAGACACTTGAGTGTTTAGGACAGTTCCTGCCTTCATGATCAACCTCCCACTGAAGAGTACACCTTGTACGAAGTCAGTCAAAGGTAGCTCTGAGAGATAGATAAAAAGCTTGCCCAGAGAGTCAACAGAAGAGGAGCTGAATTGTTTTGGCTGGAAGAATCAGGGGCGTTTCGCAGAAAAGGTGGCATTCACACTGGGTTTTGAGGCATGCATAGGAGCCTTCTGGGTGAGCGATGCCTTCAATTTCTTGCTTTTCAGAATGTGATGCAATTTCACCTTGGTGGGAAGGTGAGGGGTTTCAGAATTCAAAGTTAGTCTTCTTTATTGTAAAAAAAAATAATAATAACCCTTGGAAAATCTCTTAGATTTTCTGTAAACTTTTCATGTGTGCCCAATCAGTGCAGTCGTTTGTATGCATATCAAAATCTGAGACGCGAAGCCCGAGGAGCCCGTAATCAGCAGATTCATTCCATCTGACTTCAGAAGTGTTCCTGCTTTCCCACGGGATTTACTCTATTCTGTGGTAACAGTAAAATCGTGTGCACTTACTGTGTGCTAACAGGTAGGTTTTTCCTGTAAGAGTTAATTTTGAGCAAGTGAATGTGTCAGAAACTGACGTCTCTAGCTAGTAAGAGCTCAGTAAATGCTTGTGGATTTGAGTCAGAGGGCCAGCGTATACCTTGCTCTTTGCAGCATCCTAAAGGGAAGCATCCCCACTGGCCTTCCCCTCATGTGGCTTTACTGAGCAGCTGTCATTCTGCCCCAGGCTTCCCTCTGATGACTCCCTTAGAGAAACCACATCCTTCTTGGAGGTGCATGTTCGGAAGTTGCACGCTAACCTGTGTGCAGCTGAGAGGTACAATGAAGGCCCTCAAGAGCCCCTAGAACAAGTACACTTGCGTTGCTGAGATGGTAGCAAGCCCTGCAGCCTCCAGGTCCTGAGAACTCCCTCCTTCCACCTTCAGGCTAGCTGACGGTCATGCTCAGAGTCTCTTTATTCAGAATGTAAGTAGTGGTGAGATGGTGGTGAGAAACAGCCGAGGGGACCATGACAGATACATGAGTCTGTGCCCTTTTATGTCATCTCTGCTGAGGGGTTTAAAAAAAACCCTTCTGCCTCTCAGCATGGTGTGTTTTCCCCTTGTTGATGATCTGAACTAGGGAACTGAGCGTCTGTCTGCCTTTCTGTCCTGGCTCCCTGAAAGCTCAGAGCCAGCCCAGATTCACTTCAGTGTCCCAACTGAATCATAAAGAAGAACACTTGATTTTAAGTTGCCAAAGCAGTTGGTGGCATTGCCACTTTAGATCACAGGCATGAAGTCGGAATTTAGGATTAAAGTTAATTTCTTTAGATTTGAATAACAGCAGCAACAAGAGTAATAGTAGCGACCATTAAATGAACATCTACTGTGTGCTATTGTCACCTGTTCACTAAATTATCTGGATGGGATTAAATCCATGCACTGCTGATACCTTTAATTGCTGATCAGTCGCTTTTTACACATTAGTGCTTTTAGCAGCGGGCACAGTTGGAGCAGAGAACTGGCTTGGCTTAGTGTGGTTCTTACGAGTGTATACCCTGGTGCATGATGCTATTGCTTGCTGTGTGACCATTTGCACATATATAACCTCTGTGCATCGTTTTCCTTACCTGTAAAATGGGAGTCATCATGTTACTAGCTTCATAGGATCATCACAAAGATGAACTATCCAGGCAGGGCTTGGGGTACACTGTGTATTCATAATGAGCTTCTCCTCATTACTTCGAGGATGTCAGGGTAGCTATTTTGACCCAACAAATGGGATAGTATTTCTCTCCTTAAAGAATGCCTGCATTGGCCCTCCTTGGTGGCGCAGTGGGTTAAAGCACAGCACTGAGAATCTAAAGCCACTTCTGCATGAGTTCGATTCCCGCCTGCCCCGGACGTGACCACAGGGCACGGCAGACCTCTCCTGACCCGCCCGCTGCTCCCCTCAGCAGTGTACTCGTCGATCTGCCTGTTCTGCTCCCCACTCTGTCTCTGGTGAAGCCTCTCCTGCCCCTGAGCCTCTGGCCTGTACCCCAGTTTCTGTATGCACAAATAAATAAATCTATATAAAAAAAAAAAGAATGCCTGCATCCAGGAGGCCAAAAAATGAGTAATACACATTCACCCTAGTTTTCAATAAGAGACATGCAGGTTCTTCGCAGCTTTAAAAAGAGTTGTTAAAATCATAGATCTCATTATTCAGGAATACAGATTTGGCAGGTGAGTTATATTTACCCTGAAAGATGATCCGAGGCTGGGAAATTGGGCAATTAAACAAAATTACTATAGGAGCGACTCGTTTTACTTAATGGATTCGTGGAAGCCTGGGAACTCAATGAACAGTAACCTCCAGCCTCAGAAGGGTGCTGGTGCTTGAGCGACAGAGACTGAGCTCAGCTGTGGATGTGGTGTGGCCTGGAAGGATCCCGGGAAGAAGGGGCATCCCTGATCCCTGGCCTCCTCTGCCCAGCAGCGCTGAGCCCCCCACCCCTGCTATGCTTGCCTGGAAAGCAGGGACTCAAGACTTGTACCCTGACTTGCCCCTTCATCTTAGAGACCAGAATCTGTATTCCCTGGTGGTGCGTCTCTGCACATACTGTTACTGAGTGACTGCGTCCATATTTACTCACCACCACTGCTGCCTCAGTTTTCTGTAACCAGATCCTCTCTGATGTCAAGGAAGTGAGCAGAGAAACTGATAGGGATGGGGCTCCCAGGAAGTGCAGACCAACCCCTGGCCCTTTAAAAGTAAATTCCTGGCTCTCCCAGGTGGCACAGCCGGTTTAAAGCACTGCACTTAAGAAGCTTAAGCCACTTGGTGGGGGGGGGGGGGGGGAATTCCATCACAGGTGCCCTGGAGGTGACCACACCTGCCCTGGAGGTGACCACATGGCGCGGCAGACCTCTCCTGACCCACCCACTGCTCCCCTCAGCAGTGTACTTCGTCGATTTGCCTGTTCTGCTCCCCACTGTCTCTGGTGAAGCCTCTCACCCTCCGCATCTCTGGCCTGTACCCCAGTTCTGTACAAATAAATAAATCTTAAAAAAAAAAGTAAATTCCTTACGACTGCGTCCTTTTCCCAAAGAGATGATTTTTAAGTTACTTAAAAATGTGTCCACTATTAATATGAAGAAAGAATAAAAACAGCAGGTTTCTGGGAAAACATTTTGGGGGCTGTGGCCAATAGATTATGCGGTGGTGTCTCAGCCCCTTCCCCGGGCTTTTGTGTGAATCTATTAATTCCCAAATTGACGAGGTCTAGTTTGATTTGCCTCCCGCATGCTCTGACAGCCGTAGAAGGGAGAGACACCATATATATTTTTACTCTGGCTCTCTGGGTACTTCGCCCTGCCTTCATTTCCTACTGGTACCCATACACCTGCGGGTCAATTTAAGTTACAATTTTGTTTAATAATAAAAACCCATAGAATCTAAGAAACCTCTGGATATCCTTTTCTTCTCCCGCATCAAAGAGATAAATTTTGGGTGCTCCCCCGCCCCCCAGCAGTTCTTCTGCCTGCTTCTCTTTCCTGCTTTGCTCATCAGCCAGGCATTTGGTGCTTAGCCATAACACAGAGGAAAGCATGCAGAAACTCAGAATTTCGGAACAGCCAGATCACCCAGCTGTCTCGGTGCTCCTGGGGTTTCAGATTTGAAATCCTCTGGAAGAGCCCAACTGTGGCCTAAACACTGCCGGGCTGGAGTCCGAGTCCTGCCCACGCCCGGGGCCCGGGCACCATAAGGCGTCCATCTTCGCAGAGGCTGGGCTCTGAGCATTGTGCAGCTCCAGGGTTGTTTTCCTCCCGCGGCCGGTGGGAACCTCCCATTTCCCTAGCCGTAGTAACACCCCTGGAGGCTGGCCTAGCCGGCCTGCCCACCCCCGCGGCGGGCTCTGCAGACCCGGCCACCCGCGGTGAGCACTTGCGCCTGGGCAGCCGTCCTCCTTCCCTCCCGCCTCGGGCCACGGGCATGTGGGCGCCTGGCACGGCCAGGGTCCCGCAGCTGTTCCGATTGCAGACGTGCTGACCTGCGTCTTAGCCCAGAATGCAGGCTGAGAAATGCAGGACGAGTAGCAGAAGCATCAAAAAGGAGCTGGTGATCGAGTCCCCGCTGCAGTGTAAGGATGCAGCTCCGGGAGAGGTGGAAGCCGAGAGCCCCGTGCCAGTGCCGGTGAGCAGGGAGCGCCCGCGGGAGGGGGGCGCCGCTGTCTGCCACTCGCCACCCTCCGCCTTGAGGTGCGGTGCGAGGGCTGAGCGCCTCCCTGGGAGGCTGTGAAACTTGCTCTGCCTGTCTCTCAGGCGCTCTCCGCGCTCCTTTCCTGGAGACTGACCTGCTCCACTTGGATTCATTTTGGTCAGAAATAGGCTGATGTGCTGTGGGCGACGGTGGTTTCCAGGAGGCTTCTTCGCGTAGAACAACTTTGTATTGTGCAAAATCTGGCCCCATCTGGATGCTCTGTGGCCTGATGAAAATCTTTTTCGTGGAGGTGCTTTGCAAAATTGAAACCTCTTTACACTGTGGAAAAGAGGAAGATGACCTGGTGGGGATGGGGGAGGGGTTGGAAGCGCCACAACTGTGGAAGTTGAGTGTATCCTCACTCATTTTATCAGGTTTGCTTGACCAAAGTCAGGAAGCCTCTAAACTTGGAACCAGTTGACAGGACAGTTTCTAGCCTAGCGGCAACCCTTTCTATAAATTCAAGTGCCTCAGTGGACTTTGTGGAGCAGGAATGTGGAAAATGATGGTGTTGTTATTCTCATCAATGAGTAGGTTGTGCTTCTCTCTTGGAATTTCTGTGCTACAATACAGGCACATAACTTTTAAAGCAAACTGCAGAAAACCACCAACATGCACCGCAGGGGACAATTGAGCCTTTCAAGTGATCTGCTAAAGACTCGTTCAGCGGCTGCTTAGTGATTTATATATGATTATTTTTTTTAAAACACCGAGTGCAATTGCTACTATCATTAATTTTCAATTAGTGTCTTTAAGACTCTGAACTTCAACTCCCCTGTAATGGATTTGACTTAAATCCAATTGCTTTCCACTGACACCTTTCTGTTGTTACTGTCAAAACTTAGGGGAGTGTGATGGGCCTTTTCTCTGTAGATGTTCATCAGGGGTTGTTCCACGTTATTCATTACCTAGGATTCTTTCTGCCAGCAAGATAGCTCATTTTCTGTGGAGGGACCTGAGCCTCGTGCCTCGCCACCCCCCTTTACCCCCCCTTCACTGGTTAAAGCTCCCAGCAGATTGAGCTTATGATTTCTTTGAGGAAGTTGTGTGGTTTGGGTTCCCTTGTGAATATTCTTAAAAACCTTTTGTTAGTGATTCTCCAGATGTGTAGAAATATTTGACCAGAGAACTAAACACACTGTAGAAAGAGGCCGTGTGATTCCCCCCCCCCCCAATCACAATGACTTTTAAAAAACAGATTTCTTTGCTAATGCTCAGGAAATCAGCCCCCACATCCCAGCTAATTGTTGCGGGTCTAGTGGCACTCCAGGCCCTTCCTCGAGAGTTCTTTTCCCATCCTAACAATAGAACCAGGCAGGGTCTGGGGCTGTACCTGGCTGGAGCGCTCCTGAGAGAAAGTTCTGGCCATCCCCCACCTGCAGACAGTTGTCAAGGGAGAGGCAACACTGTTGGAACAAAACTCTTCACCTTATCTAATAGCACTGGCTCTTCTTCCAGTGGGGCAAGATGAGGAATCCCAGATAAGAAGGCCCTGCCTGCCCTGCTCTGACCTCTGCTCACTCACAGCAGGTGCAAAGCCAGCACTCGCTGGGCACATGGCTTTTATTTTTCAAGAGGATTTTTGAAAAGTGTGTCCGTACAGCTGGGGGCATCTGTCTGCCGTAGCATTGTCCCTCTGTCCGGGACCCATGGAGTCGAAAGAATCCCCAAGTCTGTATGTAATTTGAGTAAATTGGGCTGAGCGGTGTTTAGCATGTGTTAGTCAAGAGTCAGCATTGTGAAATCCAGTTATGCTGGTTTTAGTTTTTGCATAGTCCTTAGGGGGAAATGTTACATACTTTAGAAAGCATTAAAGTAATGAACATGTAGGAAAAAAATGGGACCAGTGTAGAGAAATAGGGAAAAATAAAGTGCTCTTACCTTTCTCTGTAAAGGTGCTCCCTATTCATAACCTGCTGCCTGTGCTTCTAGACTTTCTCCTGGGCCTTGAGAAATGGAACACACGTGTGTTTGTGTGGGTGAGTGGGTGTGTAGTTTTGAAGATGTACAAATGTTGTAGATTTCTGTGTCAATCTTCTCCCAGAACATACCAATAAAATAGCAGCTTTTAGTCACCATCTGTAGCCACAGCATCCTTTTTTGTGACTGTAGAGTATTCCATTGCAGATTTGTGCCTTAATTGGATGGTTATTCAGTTAGAACAATGCCATTGTTGATGGACTAGCAAATATATCTTGAAATACTTAAGCAATTCAGAGGGAGCGCTTGCATGTAAAACTTCTACCTGGCAGTAATAATGTTTCCTTTCCATCAGGATAAAAGTTGTGATTTCTGTTAGGCGCTGGGTAAAGCCTTTCTGAGAGAAGTATGTGTTTGGATGTCATGAAGTTTCACTGGTTGCTGGGATCCATTTGCAGGCCCCTACAGAGGTGGTCTTGGACCCTGCGTGTGTGAGTGTGGAGTGGGGTGGTAGGCTCGGCAAAGCTTCCCCAGCCCTCTCTTAGCACACTGTGTTGAAAATAGACGTCACAGGCTGGGATATTCTTGATTCCGTAAGTTAGTTGCCCTGCTTACCTTGGAATACCTATTTTGACTCTCTAAACTCTGAAGTTGTTCCTGGAAATCTCTCTAATTGTTACTGCTCAACAGTGTAAAGGAAAAGGGTGTGGCCTCAAGGGTGAGTGTGGCTGAGCTGTGCGTCTCTCTGTTGTCCCATGAAGAGAATTTTGAAGATTGGAAGATGTGAAAAAAGAGGAGCTGAATTTTTACATGTTCTGTGTACTCAGTATCTTTTGAAAAGCATCTTCAGAGCGAGACACCTTTTCTTTTTTTTTTTTTTTTAGATTTATTTACTTATGTATACAAGAACTGGGGTACAGGGCAGAAGTGGGGGGGTGGTGAGAGGCTTCACCAGAGACAGAGTGGGGAGCAACTGAGGGGAGCAGTAGGGAGACAGGAGAGGTCTGCTGTGCCCTGTGAGTTACCCCCTGGCCTGGGATCACCTTTTCCAATTTTGACATTTTTCTGGGATCTCCCAGTCATATAACTGAGATGGAATTCTTACTTTAATATTTGAATGAAGAAACAGTTGGGGAATGGTCTCCTTGAAGGCAGGAAGTGTGCCCATGTAGAAGGGTGTGGAGGGAGTTGGAGGAGGCTTCTGATGGACACATCACAGATCACCTGGGGACTCCACTCTGTCCCCAACGCGAGGAATCAAAGGAGAAAGTCTTTCTCTCCCTGAGAGATTCTGTTTATTCTAGAAATGGCAGAAGTGGGTTAGACACAAACTCTGGACCCTCCCTGCTGGCACAGAGGGTTACGGTGCAGCACGATGAAGCTATTGTCAGCCACTGCAGCAGGAGTTCGATCCCCGGCCAGGGAGGTGACCCACATAGCACAGCAGACCTCTCCTGCTTCCCTCAGCAGTGTATTTCAGTAGATCCACCTGTTCTGCTCCCCACTCTGTCTCTGAATCCCCCACCTCTGGCCTGTACTCCAGTGCTTATATGCATAAATAAATAAATCTTTTATTAAAAAAAAAAAAAAACACAAACCCTGAAGTATACGCTTCTGAGCAGTGATCATGTCATAAATATCCTGGGTCTTCCTTGACTGTGACGGCATTACTTTAATAGAACAATGAAGTCCGCTGCATTCCCTCATGGTTTAGCCATGATTAGTGAGTGATAGTACATTTGGGGTGTTTAAATAGGCATTACTTTGCCTTTAAATTATTGTTCCTGCAGCTTTATGAGTGACGTATTCCCAGGTGACAAAAAGCAGGATATTTTGCTCATTCAGAGCCACTGTGGCCTTCCGTCCTTCCGTTTTTTCCTTTGCTACGGCGCTGCCGGTATTCACTACTCCCACCGTGCCACGCACTATTGGCCAGATTCGGTGTGGTGTGCATGGGGGATGCAGAGATTCGGGGAGACCCACGCCCTCCCCTCCCTGAGAAGCCAGGTCTGAGTAGGGGCCGGGCTCCTCAGAATGGCTTCCCACTGGGAGTTGTTATCACAGCGAGTGTATCTCACCTCCCTGTTCCCACGCAGGCAGACAACACTTAACTCATCCTCAGCCCTGGCAGGGATGTGTCCCTGAAGTCTTAGCGCCTGGAGCAAGCCTCGCCCCGCACTGTAGAAGGTGCGGCCCCGGGTGCCGGGGTGCACAGTTGGCATGAATCACCGTAGCAACACAGGTATTCTGTGGCGTGGACAGGGCCTGCTAGCTAGGTCAGGGTCGGCCTCCAAACATGCAGGCCTGGAGACCTCTCCCCCGGGAGCAGCTCCCAGAGCCCCTCACGCCACGCGTCTCCTCCCAAAGTGGAGCCCCCCGAAGGCTTTCCGGATTCCTGCTTGTACACCACCTGGGAATCCCCCCAGCGCCAAGACTGGCTTTCCTCACGTCTGCCATCAAGGTGGGGGCAGAATGGCTGGGTTCTGCTTTTTATAACAAGGTAACGGCAACTGTTTTCGCTTTTGGTAGGGGGCGAGTAATACTCAGAAAATTAGGCAGTTGTTGTTTGAAACCCTGAGACACATCACTGCGGCTCACCCTGGCATTTCTGGGAAGCAGGCGATGTGAGGGTTTCTCTCCTTACGGGCAAGGAAAGTGGCCACAGAGGGGCTAGGCTTCTGCCCAGCTTGCCAGTCACGCGTCAGGCTCTGGCAGCGTCCGGGTGTTCCAGCATCCAGCCTCAACCCCTGTGCTCGTTTCGTGAGTGAAGATGAACATGCTCACTCCTCTTATTTATTAATTTTTTTAAAGATTTATTTATGTATGCAAGAACTGGGGGCAAGGGGAGGTATAGGCCAGAGGTGTGGCGATGAGCTCTCACAGAGGCCACAGAGACAGAGTGGGGAGCAGGACAGGCCGATTGACGGAAACACACTGCTGAGGCGGGGGAGTGGGGGGCAGGAGAGGTCTGCCGCACCACAGGGGCAGGGGTCACCTCTGGGGCCCGGATCAGA